AACTAGAATATTCTGCCAGTAATGTTTTCTTGTTAAATTACACAAAGATACCTGAAATATACCAGAGGTGTTTTGACATACCTTTAGGAATTTCACAGAGTGACCAACCTTCAGTAGAGGGATTAGTTATCTCCCACTTAAAACCAGATTTTCTCTTCATTGCCACTTTCCCATCTACTACTGTTTGTGGTTGATAAGTTCCCCAGAGATTAATGAAAGCTGAATTGTTTACTGTCTCTTCTTGAGACAGACTAAGCCACACGGGATAATCATCAGTTATTGTCCTCTTTGCTAAATTCATGAGGAATTTCGCTGTATCTTCGTCAGTAGGCTTAGCTGGTGTCAGTCCATATAATTGACACGATGAACTACTATATGGGTTCCAGGATGTTTTTATAAATCCATTCGCTTTTATCGTGTAACATGTTGTGTTGGTACAGTCCAGAACTATACAGTGTAGAAAGAATCAGGAAAACATATAAGTTTATAGTAATGTTAGTATTATTTTACTAAAAACAACTTTATCAACTATTCTAGAGAGGAGACTGGTTCATTTTATACAAAATGAATAATTACTGTGTAAATAATAAAATAAGAATATCTCCAATCAATTGCTTTACTGTATATATTTAAATTTCTCAATAAAAACAGTTACATTTACCTTCCAAACGTTCTTTGACTTCTTCATCAATACTTTGTGCCTGTGTCACAGCTAAGAGTGGAATCAGGCATAGCAGTAGCTATATAAATGTAAGAACCAGATACAGTTGGAATTATTATATGTGCACGTATTAGGAAAAACTAAAACGACACAAGTACAAATGATGACACACAAAAATACCCAAACGCTATTATTATTTTTTAAGATTAAATTTGTTTCTTTAGATTAAATTTTTATTTAGAAACATGCATAGCTTATAATGTTAAATATGTATTGCAAAACTCACGTCTATTCTTCAAAGTTGTAGAAGATTCTCGAGAGTAAGAATCAACAATATTTAACTTTGTATTGTTACATAATCTGAATTTTCTAGAAAGCCTCTGCAGCCTATAAACATAACCAATGCGCCGCACCAAAAGAGAGTATCTATTATTAGTGTGCTATAAACTTTGGAAGCTATAACTGTGATTTTTATAACGCTTATCAGTCGGAAAACTTCAGATATTTGACCAGGAAACTTTCAAAGTTCTAACATTACAAATCATTTAACTTCAGTGGATTCTCATCGGACATTAGTATTTTTACGAAAACATTACATAAATTCATCGTGGAAAACTCAGCGTGTGTGGCCGGCAAATAACGAAGTACAAAACTAGCTAGCTTCCCGTTAAGCGAATCGTACCTACATCAACTCGTAATTAACTCGCTCATCGTGAACCGTCGATAAGATATTAAGGAAGTTCCAGAC